TCAGCACCCCTTTACTGAAGCCCCTCAGCCTTCCACCCCACGGCCCTCACTCTGCAGGCTGCCTGCCCCGCCCCGGCCCCGCCCCCGCACCTGCACCTCTAGGGGACCCTGCGCCCCTCCCCCGGGGCTACTCTCCGCCCACACGCGGTGGCCCAGTCTTTCCACCTGACCGGTCTCCTGTTGGTGTGTGGGAGGCCCGGTCCCCTGGTTCCATGGCCCTCTCCTTCCCAGGAACCCTGAGCCCGAAGCCCCGGGACATCTGGGACCCCGACCCAGCCGGGCAGCTGGAAGAGGGGCCACCCTGTGAAACCCGTGAGGCCCTTTCTCCTTCTCCCCAGCCTTCTGCCTTGAGAGTCCTGTAGGAGGGACCACAGGCTAGGGTGTGGGGGACACTGCGGGAGGCAGGGCGCGGGGGTGGCTCAGGGGCCCAGAGCTGTGGTTAGGCGCAGGTGGAGCCGGGGCTGTGGCCGCCCACAGCTCTGCCCCGCGGCCTGGCCGCTGCCCCCTCCTTTGTGAGAAACAACCACCTGACTTTAAACTGGCAGGGGCCTCGGGTAGGGGGGCAGGACACGGGCCACCCCAAGCTCCCTCTCAAGGCTGGCCCTCAACACCAGTCTTCTGCCAGGAGGACCTTCCTTCAGAAGGGGCGGGTGGGTGTCACTGTGGAAGGTGAGCGGGCGCCAAGCTGGGCGGCGGGCCGCATCCCCTGCTGGTGGCCAGGGGCTCTCAGGCAGAGGCCAAGGGACCGTTTTCTGCCTCTGCTTGTGCATGTCCTGTCTCCTGGGTGGCGTCCCCATGGCGGGTGCCTCAGTCCTGGACCCTGAGGTGGACTGCAGCATGGACGTCATCCTGGTGGGCTCCAGCGAGCCGTCGGCGCCTCCTTCACCAGAGCCCTGCAGAGGTGAGGACCCGTCAGGCGCAAACCCCTGCTCGGGATGCCGGCCCCGGGCTGGGCAGCACTGAGGGCTCTGGAATATTCGCACATCGTTTGGACACCTGGGCAGGGCCAGGAGGGCCCCACCCGGGGACTCCTCCCCCAGGCGTGGATGTGTAATGTGGCAGGAAAGGCGGAGGGGGGTGGGATGCAGGCATCCCTGCCTTCTGTGACTTCAGAAGATCAACTGTGACACCTTTTCTGGGCAGCGTTTAAATTACACATCAGCGGAAGGAAAGGTCTCCTTCTTGATTTTCCTCCCCAGATCTGATTGCACACGAAGTCAAGGTTAACCAGCGGGACATAGAAGGTGACAGGCCGCTCACCGCCCACGCGCAGGGGAAGGGGTGTCGGCCAGCTCTGGAAAGCTCGCTGCAGCCTCGTGTGCACCGTGCCCTTCCCCGGAGGGGGCAGCGGACACTGCTGTCTCCCCTCCAGCCGCCCGTGCCCCCCGAGGCTCCATTTAGGGTGCACAGTCCAGTGTCTTTTAGGATATCACGGTGTGCCACCATCACCACGATCTAATTTGAGGACATTTTCATCACCTCCCCCAAAACCCCCAAACCCATTCCTTAGCATGCCCCCTCTTCCGACACCAGGTGACCACAGACCCACTTTCTCTACGGATTCCTTGCATTTCCGTGTGCATTTTAGGATCAGCTTGTGGATTTCTGGGGGAAAAAAAAAAGGCCCCCGCGGGCCGGCTGGAGAGAAGCAGTTTCGAGCAGTTTCGAGCAGTTTCGAGCAGTCTCAGCGTCCGTGAACGGGGGCGCCGTCCCGTCCCCCGCACTCGGTCTCCTGCGATGGCTCTCGAGGACGTCTTCCCCCCTCTCCTTAGCTTCGTTCGCGCGCCGCGTCGGACGGTGCGGTGACGCACGCTGCACTTTGTGCCCCTAGACCTGTGCATCTGCTGTGGGAGCTTCCAGGTGCACACACAGCACCCTCTGTTTGAGGGGGGGATGTGCGCCCCGTGCAAGGTAAGCGGGGAGGTGGGGGTGGCTTCGTGGGGTCCCCGCTGGAGCAGGGGGGCACCGGCCTGCTTCGTCTCTCGCCAAGGACACGTTCGTGGATTGCCTCTTCCTGTATGACGACGACGGGTACCAGTCCTACTGCTCCATCTGCTGCTCCGGGGAGACGCTGCTCATCTGCGAGAACCCCGACTGCACCCGGTGAGGCCGGGCGCCCCGGGGGGCGGGGCGAGGGCCCAGGAGCCTAGGACGTCTGCAGTCTCCTCGGCCGGAGGGCAAGGGCCCCCACCCCCACGCCCCGAGGAGAACGCCCTCCAAAGCTCCCCTCAAATGTTTCGCGGGGCGCGGCGCTCTCGCGCCCGGAGCTGGGCGTCGAAAGATCTGTTTCCGTTTTTGTTTTTGTTACTGTTATCACCAAGACCTGCTGCTCCCTCAGTCATCATGTCGGGCTCGAGGGACGCCCCGGCCCCTCGGGGCTGCTGCTCACCGCTGAGCGGCACTTTCATGCCTCGAGGTCCCCCCACTTCAGCGCTGCGGGCCACCCTTGCGTTTCCAGTCCCCTGCCCAGATCCTGGCTTTGCCGGGAGACCTCGTCTGTTTCCAGAGGCTCAGGGGTTGGGGGGAAGACGGGCGGCTTAAGGGGGTCCTTCAAAATCTGTCACCGTCGTAAACAGCCTGCCGTCTTCTGCAGAGCGCTTGGTTCCTGTCACTCCAGGTCCCAGGAGGGACTGGTCTCCCTTCCCTGGCCCACGGTCTCGGCCCCACTCCCCCCGCCACCTTGCGGGTGCTGACGGACAGGGCCAGCTTGGCCTTTGCACAAGAGCCGGGCGTGGCCTCCATGGCTCAGGCCGGAGCGAGGGGCAGGCTCTTCTCTGCCGCAGACCGACCGCGGTTTCACTGGTGGCCGGGGCCGTGTCATCTCAGCCACTGTGGCTTTCTGTTTGACTCTAGGTGCTACTGTTTCGAGTGCGTGGACACCCTGGTGGGCCCGGGGACCTCGGGGAAAGTCCAAGCCCTGAGCAACTGGGTGTGCTTCCTCTGCCTGCCCTTCCCCAGCAGCGGGCTGCTGCGGCGCAGGGCCAAGTGGCGTGGGCGGCTGAAGGCCTTCTACGACCAGGAGGTGGTGAGCAGCCACGCGGGGGGTGGGCGGGCGCCGGCCGCGCCCCGCCTCGCTGGCGTCCTCTGGGCACTGGGTGTGAGACAGACGCCCACCGCTCTGGCCGCAGTGAAGTCGGCCTTTTAGGCAAAGGCACGTCCCCGTTGTCCTGTGTGACGGCTGGGCCCACCAGCGGTCCCTTCGCGAGTACTCCAGCTGGTGGGGGTTTGGGGTTTGGTCTGTTCTGAGCCTGGGAACCCGGTGTTCATGGCAGGGAGGAGAGGAACTCGGGGGTGTGTGTCTCTGAGTCCAGCAAGTGGCAGCCGACGCCTGGGCGGCTGGCATGGACTCAGGGCCTCTCGAGGGTCAAGGCCGGGAGCCAGGGGCTAGGCAGGAGCTGTGGGCTCATCAAAGTGGGGAGAGCTGGGTCCCTCCAAAAGATACGCCCAAGTCCTGAGCCCCGGAGCCCGCGAATGTGACTGGCCTTGGACACAGGGTCTTCGCAGATGTGATTGCTGCATTGAGGGTCTCGAGGTGCCGTCGCCGTGGGTGAGGGTGGCCTGACGTGCAGTGACCGGAGTCCCGTGGGAGAAAGGAGAGAGACCAGGGGGCGGAGGCACACAGGGAGGACGGCCATGTGACGACAGGAGAGGCGGCGGGGGCCCCGCCGCGGCCCTGACCTGGGGCCTCGGGGCTTTGGACAGACTCGCGGGTGTGAGCCGCGCGTCATTCCCGTTTGGGAGCACTTGGCGAGCAGGCGGGGGGCAGCAGGGGACACAGGGGCACGGGGGCCCACGGCCAGGACGGCTCTGGGACCTGCGCTCAGCCTGGCCCACCCACCCTCCGAGCCCAAACAGGTGGGCGCCGTCCCTGTCCCCAACACGGGCCGGGGCCTGACGCTGCGACAGCCTCCGTGGGTCTCCAGGTGCTTTTGGAGATCAGGCAAGCACCTCAGTGAACCCCCAGGCGCGCGCATGCACCTCAGCGAACCCCCAGGCGCGCGCATGCACCTCAGCGAACCCCTTCCGGGCCGTTCGTGGCGGAGACGGTCCGCCCCAGCGTGCGGACACCCACGCTCGTGAGCGCAGCAGCTTCCATAGAAAGAACTAAAGTCGATGCTCAGAAATGCTGCCAGCGCTGGCTCGGTGCTGGGGGCAGCGAGAAGCCCAGGGGGCCGGGGTCGCGAGTCCCTGTGTCCAGCCGTGCCGCGCCCTCCTGCCCGCCCCAGACTTACCTGCTCATTCACTCACCTGTGTGGGCACTGTTCCCTCTCCTGAGCCCCAGGCGGACCCACCCCGAGGTCCTGGGTCCCCTGCAAGTCTCCCGTGCAGCAGCCCCCCACCCCCACCTCAGGCCTGGTCTCCGACAGTTAGCAGCTGGACGCCTTGTTTGCTGGAGGCCAGGCACCCCCAAGTGCTACCTCCTGGGGTGCAGGGGGCTCTGGGGCCTTGTGTTCTGAATGATCCACCCAGCGTCTCTCTGGGGGTGCTGGGGGGGGCGGGTGGTGTCCACAGGCCTTCCCACGCCTCGGGCCTCAGCGCGGCCGCTCCAGGCCTGCGTGCCAGGCCGTGGCTCTTGGCTCTGCTGTCAGGGCCTCCTGCCGGCAGCTTTTGGGGGTGCCGGGTGGCTTGGCCACCACCAGAGCCGCCGTGAGGACGGAGAGGAAGGGGTGAACCCCGCAGCTGTGCGGATCCAACGCGGGGCCCCCCCTGTGACGCACGAGGCCTCGTTCCCTCCCGGGATGGGACTGTCCTCCGCTCTCCGGAGGCTCCTGTCACCGGCCCGCCCTTCGCCAGAGGGACACCCGGTGGTGGGCAGGGTCTTCACGGGGGGCGTGGGGCCGCGGTGGCCCAGGTGTCTGCCCCTTGGGGCGCCTCTGTGGCCACAGGGGTCCCCCTGACTCACGGGCTCCACAGCCAAGCCGTCCTCGGAACGCTGTCTCTTTGATAAATAGGACAGTCCCCTCGAGATGTATAAGACTGTGCCCGTGTGGAAGAGGGAGCCAGTCCGCGTGCTGTCCCTCTTTGGGGACATCAAGGCAGGTGAGTGCGGTGGCACCCGGAGGACTTGCCCAGGAAGACTGGCCTGGAGCGGGTCGTGCAGGGGCCCAGGTGTGCGTGCGGACTCGGAAGTTTCCAGAACCACACGCAGGAGGTCGGGGTTAGCGCTGAGGGACAGCGCTGGGCGGGTGGGGCCGGGGCCCGCCCCTTCGGAGGATGGGCCCGGGGAGGAAGCGCAGGGCGCAGGACGGCGGGTGGGAGACGCCGTTGCTGAGGGGCTGGGCTTTCCCTCACGGCCACCGAGCGCCCAAGCCCACCTCAGCCTCCACTGCACCCCGCCACCTCGCAGGGCGCCCCACCCACGGGGCTGCGCTCTGGCCTTCCCCGGGCGTCCTGCCCCCTGAGGGACCCCCACTCCCCACTGCCCCCCGCCCGCCAGTGCCTTTGCAAATCCTGAGTCCTTCTGAAGCGAATCCGTGAAAATAGCCCTTAGTCTGGGGCCAGAAGGAATCGGGGACCTGCTCTCTTCCGGCACTGCTGCATGCCCGGTGCGGGGGGTGGGGGGGGCTGGCCTCACATGCCATGTCAGCGACAAGGGCCCGAGACTCGCACGAAGCGGGCGCAGCTGCGGCCGAAGGGACCCAGGAGCCGGGCGCGGCCACCCCACCTTCATCTCCTGCCCCGGACGCTCCCCGGAGTCCCATCTGGAAGGTCCGGTCTGGGCTCGCTTCCCGCCCCAGGCCACAGACTCTGCGAGGCTGTCACAGGGTTCCAGCAGCCCAGCCGCCACGTCACACATCCTGGCTGGCTGCCACCAGCGTGGACCCCAACTGCCCAGCACACCTCCTGCCCCTGGCCAGGGCGTGGCCGCCCAGGAAGGCTGCCCTCCCAGCAGGCCACTGGACTTTCCCGGTGGTGCTCGAGGAGTTCCCGCTTTTTGGTTATGCACAGCCAGTAGCTTCGCCCTGAGTTCCTGGTCATGCGGTCACATGGCTAAAAAGAGACAGCTCGCTCCTTATGGACAGACGACAGATGCGCTTCGCCAGGCGTTAAGCTTTTGATCGCGGTGGGGGTCAAAGTCAGTGTCCTTGTGTCTCCCCGCCCAGAGCTGGCGAGTTTGGGCTTTCTGGAAAGCGGCTCGGGCCCAGGAAGACTGAAGCATCTGGACGATGTCACCAACACCGTGAGAAAGGACGTAAGTCAGCCGTGTGTGCAGACAGCTGGGGGCAGATGTGCAGGGGGTCCCTGGGGGGTGCCGGGCGGGGGGCGCCCGGGGCCGCACAGCACTTGAGAAAGGACGTAAGTCAGCCGTGTGTGCGGACAGCTGGGGGCAGATGTGCAGGGGATCCCTGGGGGGTGCCGGGCAGGGGGCGCCCGGGGCCGCACAGCACTCACCCCAGCGAGGACCGACGTGGGATCCCGCGGGAATCGGCCCCTGCCGCACAGTCGCTGGCGGTCAGCCCCGCAGTGGGGAGATGAGGGGCGTCCTCGTGGCCACCCATGCTGCCCGCCGCCCAGAGCCGAGCAAGCGGCCGAACCTCCTGTGCGTCTTGCTGAAGTGCCAGGGCCAACCCCGCCGTCTGCGACAGTGCTGCCCAGAGAGGGGTTACCCCGTCCCCCACCCCCGAAATAAAGTGCGAGAGCTGAGCTGCGAAGCCCCGATGGAGAAGCTTCCTGCGAGCGCCGGCCCCTCGAAGGCTCCTTCCTGCCGTCTGGCCCTGTGGCCTCGGAGGAAGTGCCTACGAATGACTCACCAGCACCCGGCGCGGCCTCGAGCCCCTCATGACAGAGAGGAGGAAGGACAGGGGGCCCCTTCCCGTGGCCTCGGGTTATCCCGATGCCGGGACAGCGCACGGCCATCTCAGGCAGAGGGTCTGGGGTGTGGGAGCTCTGGCCGCGGAGGGGGCAGCAGAGAGAGGGCCGAGGCGGAGGGTGCGCTCTGCCGCCCTTGGGTGCCGGCCGGGGCCCCACAGCTCTGCTCCTCGTCTGGCCGGAGTCCTGTGAGTGGTGGCGTCTCGTCCTGCAGCTTGGCCGGCCGTGCGGTGACCGGCCGGCGCTGGCCGCCATGTGGGCGCTGTCACGCTCTGAAGGGTGCAGCGTCGCTGTGGCCGAGCTCCCGGCTCCCGGCTGCCGGCTCCGTGCCGGAGGCGCCTCGTACGGTCCGGCCACCGCGAAGTCCACGTGGCCCCGGGGGCCGGTGCATGCCCATCCCCCCCAGCAGCTCTGGGAGGGGGCCCCTGCCACAGGGAGTCACCTGGGACCCCCAGCGAGGACAGCCAACTCCGAGTGTCCCCGAGGCCTGGGGAGGACAGTGGGATTCCCGCCCCAATCCCGGGTCCCGTGGGGGCCTTGGCTGAGCCGGTGGCTAGCCGCCTGAGGCCGCCAGCCGCCTGCTGCCCGCCCAACGCCACACGTGTCCTCCAGTGTCCCCCGTCCTGCAGGTGGAACAGTGGGGCCCGTTCGACCTCGTGTACGGCGCCACGCCCCCCTTCAGCCAGGCCTGCGACCGGCCCCCGGGTAAGAGAGCACTGTCACCCAGCCCTCTGACCCCGCCAGCCCTCTGCACCCCAAGCCCAGCCCGCCCAGAGAGGGCGGGAAACGCGCGGTGTCCACTTTCAAAGCTTGGCCGAGGGATCGCGGGCCTCCGCAAGCTGTCCGCCCTCAGGGAGGGCCGTGTGGCGGGGTCGGACACATGTCCCGTGACGCAGACTGCCTGGGGAGCAGGCGGGGGCCACGCGGAGCCTGGTCCCTCCGAGGGCCCCCCCCGAGAGCCCCCCGCGCCCTGCGGCTCGGGCGGGCGGGGCCAGACGCACCTGGGCGGCCCCAGGGTGGTACCTGTTCCAGTTCCACCGCGTGCTGCAGTACGCCAGGCCGGGCGGCCCGCGGCCCTTCTTCTGGATGTTCGTGGACAACCTGGTGCTGACCGAAGATGACCGGGCCGTCGCCTCGCGCTTCCTGGAGGTGTGTGCGGGCTCGGGGGCTCGGGCTTGGGGGCTCGGGGACCCCAGGGGCTCGGGGGCCGGCCGGGGGGGGTGGCAGGGCAGACCCCGACCCCCGAGGCCTCGGCCACCGGCTGGTGCCCGGTCCTCTGCTCCCACGAACAGTGCTAAGGTGAAGGAGCCTGTGTGGGAGTCAGCGGGGTCAAGTCCGGGGTGAGGCCGCCAGACAAGGGTCAAGTACGTGCCATTTCACAGGTGGCCTCGTGGCCCCCGGCAGAGGTGGTCCCAGCTCCCGCCCCCGCCCTCTGTTTCCTGGGCCTCAGGGAGCGTCCTCCAGCAGCTCTGCATCACCGGCTCTCTCGTGCCGTTCTCGCGAACGCTTGTCCCCAGCGTCCCGTGGCACCTGGGTGTGTGTCGCATCGTCTGACTGGCTTCCGTGTGCACACGGGAAGCTGTTGCTGTCGGCACGTTGATGTGGGTCCCGCCGCCTTGTTGCATGACCCTGCTGTCAGCTGCTGTCTTCGGTGGATCCTGCTGGAGTTGCAGGCGTTTGAGCAGATCGTCCGCAGATAGGGACTGTTTTCTCTTTGCGTTTTACACTCAGAAAACACCGAATCGCGGCCGTGACAGTGACGAGACGCTCCTGCCTTGTCCTTGACCGTCAGGGACCCGTCCCGGCCTTTCCCCTCTGGGCCGGTGCCGGCTTTGAGGTTGAGGTTGACATACTTCGCTATGTTAAGGAAGTGTCTGGAAGCTTCCACCGGTTTCTATTATTCTTGAGTAATTGTATCATGAATAATTGATGGATTCTGTCGAATTTTTTTTTTTACATCTGTGAAGAGACTTAGATAATTTTCCTCTTTAGATCTATGAATAGGATGTAAGGTAGTCATAGGTTTCTTAACGGTGAACCCTCCTTGCTTTCCTGGAAGAAACCCACGCAGCCGTGCGTGGGGCGTGTTTCTGCGGGCGTGTCGCTGAGGTTGGGTGAGCAGCGTCTCCTTTGGGGTTTTCGCTGTGATCAGCAAAAATATTTGAGAAACGGACAGCATTCTGCCGTGAAGCAGTCTGGATTGCTGCTGGTTCCGTTGCTTTAAAACAGGAGTTAAGCCCTCCGCGGAAACTGATTTATCAGATTTTCTCTTTTTGGAGACCCATTGGGTAGGTTACGCGTTCCTAGAATACAATCTCTTTCATGATAGTTTTAAAAATCATTTTCTTAGAGTTGAGCAAAGTGGACCCAGGATTCCTGTACTTCCTTCTGCCTTTGGGATTATTTCTCCTCCGTAGGAAGTTTGGGATTTTAAAAATACTGACGTGTTGTCACGTAACAGCCGTCAGGATCAGGTTCGTGTATCAAAAAAAAAAAAAAAAAAAATCTAGTGAGA